ATACAATTCCTCCCTCCATGCTGTCAAGCAAGCCTACTTTGTCAGTCTCATCAATAACTTGTCATCCAGTCCTCGTCGTCTCTTCTCTACTTTTAACTCTCTACTTTCTCCACCTCCACCCAGTACCTCACTCACTGCTTATGAAATTGCAAATCATTTCAAAAACAAGATTGATGCAATTCGTAGGGGCATCTCCACTGCACAGACGTCCATCCCACTTAGCATACCTTATACTAAACCTCCCTCAACACTTTCCTCTTCTGACCTTGCTACTACTGAAGAGATCACTAAGGTTTTGTCACCTACCTGGTTGGGGAGCCTGACGTGGAGAGAAGGCATCCTCTTACGACTCCCGCTCGGAGCCCCTGATAGTGGGAACAGAGGGGGCAGAGCCAGGAGTGGCATGAGTTACAGGTGGATCTGGAGCTGGCGGCAGGTAGCGAAGACCCAGGAGATCCGGATGCAGGCCAGGTGTGGATGCAGGAACGTAGGTGCAGCAGCAGGCAGGTATGGCAGCAATCAGGATGCAGACTCGGACTGGACTCCAGAGCGTGGATGCGGTAGCAGGTAGGTATGGCAGTGACCAGGATGCAGGCCAGGTGCAGGACCGTGGGTGCAGCGGCAGGTAGGTATGGCAAATGTCAGAATGCAAGCCAGATGCAGGACCGTGGGAGCAGCGGCAAGTAAGTATGGCAGCCGTCAGGATGCAAGTAAGGTGCATGTGCAGGTAAGTAGATGCAGCATAGTCAGACAAGCCAGGTCAGTATTAAGCGTGCAGATCAAGTACAAGGGAGCAGGCAAGCGGATGGTCAGGGATAGCCGGGGTCGGTGCAGGCGGAGTTCTTTCTTAGTCAGGTCAGATCAGAATACAAGCAACAGGAACAGGTAATAGTGCAGGGACGCTGTAGACAAGAAGGCTTTGATTGTACTGTATTGCAGGTTTAAATAGCCTAGCGGTGACGTGGACTCTACTGTGCATGCGTGCACTTCCGCGTTTCTGCGCCCCGCACGCTCTCGCGCACTCGCACCACCGTGACCTGAAGGGATCTGTTGCCGTCGCACAGATGCATGGCGACAGGGCCCATGACAGTGACCCCTCCCTAAGGGCAACCTCCGGATGTCCAACTGGGCCATCTTCTCTGGATGCCTGCGCTTGAAAGCCACAATTAAATCTTTAGCGTGGATGTTAGACTCCGGTTCCCATGAATTGTCTTCAGGTCCATAACCTTTCCATTTAATTAGATATTGGAGTTGATTCCTCCTTTTCCTGCAGTCAACAATAGTTTCAACCTCATTTTCTTCTTTGCCGTCGACGATCACTGGTTCAGGTGGCCCCAATTCCCGACCTGGGAAGGGGTTAGAGACTGCAGTCTTGAGCAATGATACATGGAATGCGGGATTGACTTTTAGTGAATCTGGTAGTATGAGCTTGTATACGTCATTAATTCTCCTCTTTACAGGAAAAGGACCCACGAATTTGGGGCCTAACTTCTTTGAGGGACGTGTTAACCTTAGATTGGCTGTTGACAACCATACTTTTTCTCCAGGTTCCAGGACCAGGTCCCCTTTCCTCTTTCTGTCAAACAACTTCTTATTATTCAGCTGGGCTTTTAAGATTGTTTCCTGTAGCATCTTGTTATTCCGCTGAAGGAATTTAAAGGTATCCTGGACTGCTGGGATCACTGATTCAGGTACTAGATTGGAAATAAATGAAGGGTGAAATCCATAGTTCGAGAAGAAGGGAGACTGTCTTGTGGCCGAGTGTTTTGAATTATTATAGGCAAATTCTGCAAAGGGTAAAAGTGATACCCAGTCATCTTGAGAGAAAGATGTGAAACATCGGATATACTGCTCTAAGGTCTGGTTGGTTCTCTCTGTCTGCCCGTTAGTCTGAGGGTGATAGGCGGAAGAGAGTGAGAGTCCCACTTTCAACTTCTCACAAGAGTTTTCCAAAATTTCGAGGTGAATTGCACCTCTCAATCCGAAATGATGTTCCCTTGAACACCATAGAGCCTCACCACCCTCTTTTATAAAGATTTGGGCTGTTTCTGCTGCAGATGGTACTCCTTTCATGGCAATAAAGTGGGCCATCTTGGAAAATCGATCCACTATAACAAAGATAGCTTAACATCCTTCTGATGGTGGCAGCTCTACAATGAAATCCATCGATATCATGCTCCAAGGATGGTCAGGAACTTGTAGAGGCCTCAATAATCCCCAGGTCTTGCTCCTATTACCCTTGTTCCGTATACATGTGGGACAGGAGTTTACATAAGCCTTGCAATCCTTCTCCCACTCAAGCCACTAGAACAGACACTGTACTAAGTCTAAGGTCTTGTGGACCCCGAAATGTCCTGCCAGCGGATGGTCAATACACAGCCCTAAAATTGCCAGTCGGGTAGTTTCTGGTGCAAAGATTCTGTTTCCTGACCATAGTAACCCTTCTCTGGAGGACAGGGTTATTCCTGGAGGGGATGGAGCCACAAAAGATGCCTGCTGGATCTGCGAAAAAAAGATCTGGTTGTAAAAGACAGAAGTTACCTGTTGAGAGCACTGTATCAGGGGCAGGAGGATCCTTTGGGTCATCAAACATCCTAGACATGGCATCAGATTTGATGTTCTTGGAGCCTGCTCTATAGGTGATGTGGAAGATGAATCTGGAAAAGAAGAGTGCCCACCTGGCTTGTTGGAGTTTTAGACGTTTTGCCTTCTTCAGGTACTCCAGATTCTGTGCATGTGCACTAGCACCGCCGTGACCCAAAGGGATCTGTTGCCGTCGCATGGCTGCACGGCGACAGGGTCCATGACAGGTTTTCTCAAAAGCCTGTCTCACTACCTGCCCCCTGGATCCTCCCCCCCTCACAACTACTATGGTCTCCCCTCTTCTATCCTATGCTCCCCCACTCACATCTTCAATCTCTCCCTCTCTAACGGTGCCTTCCCCACCCCTCTAAAGCATGTGCACATCACTCCCATACTTAAAAAGCCCTCCCCGGACCCCACCAACCTAAACAACTTAAGACCCATCTCCCTGCTGCCATTTACCTCTAAACTCCTAGAACACTTAGTCTACAATCGCCTGAGCTCCCATCTCACCGACAACAACCTTCTCAACCATTTACAGTCTGGATTTCGCTCACTTCACTCCACTGAAACTGCCCTACTAAAACTCACTAATGATCTACTAACTGCTAAAACCAATGGCCACTACTCCGTACTCACCCTAACCAATGGCCACTACTCCATACTCATTCTGAGCAATGGTCACCACTCCGTACTCATCCCAACCAATGGCCACTACTCCGTACTAATCCCAACCAATGGCCACTACTCAATACTCTTACTACTTGACCTCTCTGCGGCTTTTGATACTATTGACCATCCCCTCCTCCTCAAAAAAAACTCCACTCTCTTGGCCTCTGAGACTCTGCTCTCTCCTGGTTCTCTTCCTTGCTATCGCAGTGCTCCTTCAGCATTACCTATAACTCTGGCTCCTCCTCTCCACGCCCTCTTTCTGTAGGGCTCCCTCAATGTTCTGTCCTTGGACCCCTTCTCTTCTCCATCTTCACCTCCTCCCTTGGACACTTGATAAACTCCCCTGGCTTTAGGTACCATCTCTATGCTGATAACACACAAATCTATCTTTCTACCCCTCACCTCACCCCTTCAGTCTCCTGTCGCATTACTAACCTACTAAGTGACATATCTGCATGGATGTCACTCCACTTCCTCAAACTCAATCTTTCCAAAACTGAGCTCTTAGTATTCCCTCCAGCCCGTGCCCCTTCTCCTGACTTCTCCATCAAGACCAATAATACAACCATCAGTCCCTCTCCTTATGCCAGGGTACTAGGTGTAATCCTAGACTCCCATCTGTCCTTTCAGTCCCAGATCCAATTGCTGTCCAAATCATGTAGACTTCACCTCCGCAACATCTCCAAGAACGCTCATTCTTAACCTCTGAAACTACTAAGCAACTTATTCACTCGCTTGTTATCTTGACTATTATAACTCCCTCCTCATTAACCGAACTCATCGCAGGCTATCCCCTCTTCAGTCTACCATGAATGCTGCTGCCAGACTCATCCACCTTCCAACTGTTCTGTATCTGCCACCCCCTCTGCCAATTCCTCCACTGGCCTCCATTCAGAGTCCTCCACCCCTCTCTGCCAATCAACTCCATTGGTCTCCATTCAGTGTCCTCCACCTCTCTCTGCCAATCCCTCCATTGGTCTCCATTCAGTACCCTCACAGCTCCCCTCTCAATGTCCTTATCCCTCTATCTTGACGTTTTTTTCTAATGCTCTTAGGATGTGGGGGTCCCTTGGTATCCTCACATGTAAAGTGGGACTGTTGGTCCTACGTTGTATGTAATGACATCAGAATGCTGCAACAAGCCTATACCCTGCGTAGTGTGGGGGTCCTGTGGGGGGAAATTATACCTCAGCCTGAAGGAGGCTTTACTAAAATGGAGACCTGAATGGAGAGGTGAGGAGGATTCTGGGAATATCATTTGATGTGACTATTTGTGTTCAGATGTAGAGTTTTCCTCCTGTGAAGTCTGGAGATCATATGACATCACATTGCCTCCACCTCCCTCCCTGATAGAAGAGAGAAAGAAGAAGAAGATTCTAGAAGTCACCAGAGAGATCACTGAGCTGCTGACAGGAGAGGTGAGCGGTGCCGGGAATTCTGGGACATTCTCCAGTAACAGACAAGGGATGTGTCTGGATGGTGACTGTATCATTGTGTGTGTCAGGTTCCTATAAGGTGTCAGGGTGTCACTGTCTATTTCTCCATGGAGGAGTGGGAGTATTTAGAAGGACACAAGGATCTCTACAAGGACGTCATGATGGACAATCAGCCGCCCCTCACATCACCGGGTAAGAGGAGACTTTATTGTAAAGGAGAGAGCAGTACGGAGGATCCACCTAGATCCCCCATCATCTGATAAAACACATAGAAACAATGGATTCAGTCAGTGTGTGTGTTTCCTACAGATGGATCCAGTCATGGGAACCCACCAGAGAGATGTCCCCGTCCTCTGTATTCCCGGGATTCCACACAGGAAGGTCACACCATCCCTCACCATCATCAGGTAGATGAGGAACAATCACTGATAGTATCATTAGGATCTGTACATTATCTGCATTGTTACCATTGATGGCATTTTTTATTATATATTCAGAGTGGAAACCTGAGAGATCCTAAAGCTGAGGTTAAAGAAGAGATAAAAAGAGGAGGAGATGAGGATGGGGGGATGGAGAAGTCAGAGCTTCCAGAAGAACACAAAGATCTGTACCAGGACACCATGGTGGAGTCATCCAGATACAGGAACCCACCAGAGAGATATCCCCATCCTCTGTATTCCTGGGATTCCACACAGGAAGGTCACACCATCCCTCACTGTTACAAGGTTGGTGGGATGGAGCATCTAGAACATGGACTTGTAGAGACACTGAGGATGTTTTTTATGTGATGTCACAATAATAAATCTTATATTTTACAGATGATATTTTCTCTCATTTCCTTGATTTAGAGTGGAGATCCAATCGATATAGAAGTTGAGGTTAAATCAGAAGAAGAAGAGGCGTATGTGAGGGATGATCAGCAGTCTATGGAGGAGGATGGAATAACGGGGACATTTATAGAGGAGGACACTCCTACAGAGATCAGCACAGGTGGGTCATGAACACTAAATCCATTCCTCCACCCATACTGCTCACTGATTGGTCCAGAGTAGGGCGGGGACTGGATGATATCAGCCTGTAATCCCCTGGTCACTTTCCTGAGCTGTGTTCCCCGTCCTGTATTCCTGGATTTCTCTCGGATAATCTTCCTTCTCTGTGCTGCAGACACAATTTATGTATCTAGACTGGATTTATGGAGGTTCTGGGGTTCAATTGGCAGCAAAATGTTCATTTCAGCATAGGTTTTGAGTTATCTGGGACCTGTTCTGTGGGTCTTCTTTCTCATGCTCGGTTAAAATCTCTGACAGAGTATTCTCCCAGGGTTACTTTACTCTTTTGTTTGCTGTGCCGGGTGGAGGGATATGTCTGTATAGTCTCAGACCCAAGTCACTGAGTGCAGTCTCAGGAGATGGGAGGCAGCGGTGTGGGACCTCTGAAACTTGTCTACAGTAAACATTTAATCTTCCACTGATTACTGAATACCAATATTATGAGTCCTGATCCTTATACTATAACATTTATATTGTATATTACATTCTGCTGACCCCCACACTATGTACTATGTTGGGAAGATGGCGATGAGTGAAGAGGGGGTGGGGCCCCTTATCCTATAATCCCCTCATCACTGTCCCTCCTATAAAAGACAGTTCTGGTTGTTTCCTCACTCTCTGACTAAGGTCCATGAATAAAGAAATGACCTGGTAGGAGATCAGAGGAGCCATTTCCTAGTTCCCTTGAGGGTGGAATTGTAAGCTCCTCAGAGACCAAGCTGCCTGATGTGGGTGGAGTCCTGGTTTGGGGAAACCAATCATCTCCTGTCTAGTAATCCTCTTTGTCTTTGTATTTTAGTCCATGGCCGGGAGATGAGGAAAACCTCCGAGGATTGTCTCACTTTGTCTCCAGACTGGAAAGTAGAAGATGAGGACATCATACAGTATAGTCCAGGAGAAAACCCGGCTCCCTCCAATGTCCATCTGGCACCACCCAGTGTAGATGGACCATCGGATTCCTCGTATCCTGAGGAACCTCAGACTGTGTGGGACCAGGCCGGCCTTCCACCAGAGAAGAGCCTCTCCTGTACTGAGTGCGGGAAGAGGTTCCATTCTAAATCTGGTCTTAATAGGCATAAAAGATCTCACATGAGGGGAAAACCATACTGCTGTTTTAAGTGTGGGAAATGTTTCCACTCTGCAACCTCAATTTACACTGTGCAACCAGCATCCCCATTGTCTCTTAACCCCCAGATGAAGGATCCCCAGCCCCTGACACTGGTAGGGGGGGCATTAGAACACCCTTCACCGAGCCATCCTCCCTCCGTCCCTTCCACTTCACATACAACATCTTCTCTCACGGTATCTGCGTTGGAGGAAAAACTACAAAGGTTTCTTTCGCAACATTATCTCCTCTATATCCGCAAAAGTGGGCAAATTGGCTTTGGATCTTAGAGGAGCAATAGCCCAGATTAGTGAACGTAATGATCAATTGGAGAATAAATTTGATGAATTGGTGCAATACGTCCATGTCCTACAAGAAGATAACGCGAATCTGAAACACACCATGTCCCAAATTCAGCTCCAACAGGAAGATTTGGAAAACAGAGAACACCGGCAGAACATCCGTATTCGTGGTATGTCTGAATCTATTGCCGATTCCCAACTTCGCCGACATCTCTTGTCCTTCTTCACCACAACCGCACCCATGGTTCCAGAAGCAGATTGGCGCATGGACAGAGCCCACCGATCACTAGGCCCTATATCTGCTGACGGCACCAGACCACACAACGTCATCGTCCGCTTTAATTTTTTTTAAAGCAAAGAAGCCTTGTTAGCCTCCATACGCAACAATCCTTCCTTGGAGTTTAAAGGGGACGGGCTCCAGCTCTTTTGTGATCTTTCTCCAATTACCCTGGCCAAACGGCGCACACCTTCAACATCACCGTGTTCCTTATCCCTGGGGTTTTCCCTTTAAGCTGGTTGTCTCCAAAGATAGTTCCCAAGTTACCCTACCTGACCTTTTAGAGGCAGACTCCTTTCTGAAGCAATTGGGACTACCTCCTCTATCAGAAGACGACTCCTCATTAACACCTACTCCCATCTCACCCCTCCATTACCCCCAACAAGATTTGGACACCAGTTCGCGGGGGACAGAAGCATCTTTCATGTACTCCTCAACTTCCTCATCCTCGTTCCAGCGATGAGCCTACCTGATGCTCTTCTAGGGTGTTCTCCTGTGGGTACTTCAGGGTTGTCCCTTATCCCTGCCCTCCTCCTCCCCTCTCCCCTCCCTTCCCCCCCTCCTCCTCCTTTCCCTCCTCTCCTCCTTCCATGCTATATCTAATGTCATTTTGTGATGGCTTTACGACTTCTGTCATATAATTCTTAATTCTGTTCAAAAATTGGGGACGGCTTTTGAAGGAATTCCGATCTTCAGGAGCAGACATTATTTTTGTCCAGGAGACCCATTTTAAATCAACAGGCTCCTTTCATTTTGCCTCAAGGTTTTTTTTCTCAATCCTATTCGGCCTTTCACCCATCTGGGAAGGCTGAAGTGGCAATACTGATTCGGACACATTGCTCTCTTTGGGTCGTTTCCTCACAGGGTCGATCACCACGGGCACTTCATTATCTTAGAATGTAGGCTTGGTGACACTTATTTTGATGAATTTATATGTCCACTTATTTTTGATGAATTTATATGTCCCAAACTCAAAGGTCAGTTACAGTTTCTAAACAACACAAACACTCGCATCAAATTAGGCTCCTTCTCTACTCCATACATGATTGTAGAGAGTGACTTTAGCTTAATCCTGCTCATGGTCTGATCATGCCTCCACACAAAGATGTTCCTCCTCCTTTCCAAATCCTTTCGCAAATTGATCAGGGAGCTGCACTGCCCCGAACGTCTCTAATTGAGTGCCCCACGGCAGATTCTGGGCATGCCCCCCTCTCCCATAAACAATTCACCTACTTCTCCTTTACTCCATCTCTTCCCCTACCCCACCCCCTGCTAACTTCTTAGTTATTCACATCCCCCTAGCTATCACTTTTTTATTTCAGCCCCTCTGCTCCCCCCATTTTGCATTGTTTCCTCTGACATGTTCATCAACCCTATGTACATGGTACAGCGCTGAGCGAACATGCCTCCTTGACCTAAATACTGTTATTATTAATAATATTCTTATTATTACTTCGAGTTTATATAGCGCCAAAGGGTTTGCTCAGCGCTGTACAATAGAGGGGGGGACAATACATGGCACAGTACAACAACAACAAACAACGTACGAGGGGTAAGAGGGCCCTACTCTTTCAAGCTTACAATCTAGGTGGGAGGGGGTAAAGGTACAGTAGGAAGTGGCTGAGGGGAATGAGGGGTGGGAGGAAAGAGGGAGAATGGCCGTTAGGTGAGGGTGGGGTAGGCTTCCCTGAAGAGATGGTTTTGAGGGAGAGCGCCTGAATGTGAAGAGGAAGGCGACAGTCTGATGGATTGGGGCAGTGAGTTCCAGAGGATGGGGGAGGACCTGGAGAAGTCCTGCAGTCGTGCATGGGGGAGGAGACCAGGGAGCAGGATAGAAGGAGGTCCTGTGAGGAGCGAAGGGTACGGGGTAGGGCGGTACTTGGGGATCAGGTTGGTGAGGTAGTCAGGGACAGTGTTGTGAACGGCTTTGTAGGTCAGGGTTAGGAGTTTAAATTTTATTCCCTACTGTCATGCCAAAGACAGGTCATTGGCGCCTCAATGAAACCTTTTTAACCACGGAACATCTCCGTGCTGAGCTCTCACAGGGACTTGACATGTATTTCCACCACAATGTAGGCTCTGTACTATCTGCCTCAATTGTATGGGAAGCCCACAAGGCAGTTTTTCAAGGTCTGTGTACCTCCATGGGTTCTCGCTTGAAGAAATCCTCAGAGAGTACCAGGATTACCCTAGTCCGCCAGTTAACCTTGGGTGAACGTAGCCTTCTTGCAAAACCGTCTATTTCTGGACTTCGTAAAGTGACCTCTCTTTGTGACCAAATCAAGGCTCTTGATGCCTGTAACTCCACAAAATCTCTTCTCTGGGTCAAACAGAAATTCTACAAATTCTCCAACGAACCTCACAGTATGCTCGTCAATAGACTCAAAGCCCAAACTCCCTCTACATTGCCAGACCATCTCATCCAGCCAAATGGGGACCCTATTTATGACCCCCCGTGTAATGGTCTCCCTTTTTGGCTCATATTACGAGTCTCTATAGAACTGTTTGACCCCAGTTCTCCATCCTCCCCCTCACAGAGACTTCTTTTGATAGGTTTTTCAATCCTCTACTATTACCAAAGCTATCGCCTTCTGACATTTCAGCCCTTAAAGCTGACTTTTCATCTGAAGGACTATTTGATACAGTCAAACATCTCCCCTCACGCAAATCCCCGGGACCAGATGGACTTCCCTACTCTTACTACCAGACTTTCATTGGTATCCTGGCTCCCCATCTCCTCTCTCTCTCTCCTATCAAGATTTTTTCAAGGGTATTACTCCCCAGGCTGACTTCTCCCGTGCATATATTTCTGTAATTCCCAAACAAAACAAGGATCCATCTATTTTAGATAATTACCGTCCTATTGCTCTACTAAACTCTGATTACAAGATTTTTACTAAGATCCTAGCCAATAGGCTGTCTAGGCTCATCTCCAAGCTCATACACAGAGACCAAGTAGGCTTTGCTCCTGCCAGACATGCAGCGGACAATACCAGGAGATCCATTGATCTGGTTGACTTGGTTAACTGGGCTTCTACCCCCACCATTTTATTGAGCTTAGATGCCCAAAAAGCTTTTGACCGCCTCAGCTGGCCTTATATGTTTATGGTCTTGGAGAAGTTTGGCCCTTTCGTGGCAGCTTTAAAAGCTCTTTAATTTTATCTTTCCTCAGAGGTCAGACTAGCCTCTTTTCTCTCACCTCCTTTCCAGATGTCGAATGGTACGCGACAGGGATGCCCACTCTCCCCTCTATTGTTTATCCTCTGTTTGGAACCTTTGG